GTGGGGGGTTGGGAATATGAAAAGCTTAACAATATTGAGCCATTCATTTTAAAATGCAGATACTAACAAAGCACTTCAAAACATCTTATTCACAACTTACACTTGGAAGTTAATTTAGAAGTGAAATTTATTTACTGTGAAATCTAACCTGTGGTCAGCAGATGCTCCAATGCATCAGCATACTGTAAAACACGATTACCAAAGAGCCAAGCTTGCAGTCGATAAGAGTGTCCATCAGGGCATTTTGGATCATTGTAAAACCTCTCTAGGTTACAGAAACCATTAAATTTCTCATGCAGCAACGTTCCATCTCCAGTGATTCTGTCTAGGTAATGGATGTCTGCTTCCGGGAAATATTTCATTCCTAACAAAAAAGAAACCCACAACAGAGCACCAATCCAAATAGTAAGTTTTGTTCATTTACAGTAAACATCTATTCAGCTCATTAAATATATAGCTGTACTTCAAACAGCTCTTGAAAACAACACAAAATCCTTTGGTCAATCACATCGCAAAGGGCAGACGAACCCTAATTTGAAGTATTGCCACCTTTCACCTCCTGAGTGAGAGCTGAGCTATCATTCTAAGTAGAATCTTTTTGCCACCAATCCTCTAATCACCTTGATGCACTGCATACGCCCATGCAGAAAATCCTACCTCTCAGGGTGCTCAGTGACTCCACCAGAGCTAGGAGCTCAGTGAGCAAAGTGACTTCATTAGAACTGAAATGTCATTCACAACAAATCATACCTACACAAGTATCCACAGAGCTGACAAACATCCTGTCCTCATCTCAAGCCTCACCAACGTTTTATTCTCCCCTTATCTATAAGCCCTCCACATCAACTGTGGCATTGCCAAACTAATAATTTGCTAGTCAAGAATTGCTGGTTTGGTGAACTGACTTTCTTTACACAAGAATGACAATTCCACTGTTAAATTCTATTAACTGTTAGAGAAATATATAAAACAAGATGTACCTAGTTTTTCTGCTATTTGTTGTGCAAGCTTGCCCTTCCCAGAAGATAAGTTTCCCTCCACTGTAAAGATTTTGCTGTATTCAGTGAACTTTTTTGTAGCTCTGTCTCCCAACATGTAAGCCAGCCAACCATACTGCAAATTCTGCTCAGGGCTGATATGAATTCTTGCCTGAAAGAAAACAAAATTAGTGTATTTTAGTTTTCTTAGCTGAACTAGGCATGCTCAAAGTGCAGCTTTTTCAGACCTTCTGCACATGCAGGAAGATACACACTCAAACATCTAACACAAGGAATTTTCATACAATAAAGTTAGCACTGCCATTTCAGCTTAGCAACTGAAGCGGTATTTAGGCTGAGAAGCTGTTTATGAAACGCAAGGCTGAGAAGACAGAAACCACGAAACAATTTTCAGCGCATTTAAACCCTGAAGCAGGACTGCTCTGCCAGAACTCTGCTCTGAACCTACACAATGACTAAAACTTCCTAGACTTACTGAGGACCACAGACACATGACATGACATGCGTTCCCAAGGGAGATCCTACAGCAGGCTTTTGCTTGCATTTTTGTTTGTTTGTTGTTGGGTAAATATTAAAATTAAACCCTCTCCCAGTCTCTCAGGAGACAGCTACAGCTTCATTTCTGCACAACACAGTTCCTGGACAAAGGTGGAAAGAAATATCCACCTGGCCTGTAAAGCTGAAGGCAGTACTTTACTCAGCCCCGCTCAGCTAAGCTGCTCAGAGACCTCGGTAAAAACTGAATAAGCCTTATTTTGAGCGATGTAGTGACCTCACTTACACACGTGAGGTTTTATTTTTATTTCACATTCTTCCGCTTGCACCGCCAAAGATCACATTCACAAGCTGAAGGTCACTGGGTCATCGCACCCTGGTCTCAGATATTTGTGCCTCTCTCCATCTTAAATCTCGCCTCCTCCCCAAAGCCCCTCCATTCGCTCATTGGGAACGTCCCCGTCTAAGGAGCAGCCCAGCC